GGATAGGTTTGGTCATCTGAGGAATTCTAGACATAAATATTGATAAATATTTCAATACACTTCTGCATACTTGTGTCTGACTTTGGCAATACCATCAGCACGCTAAGCCCTTCCTTACATATTAGCAGGCCTTCTGTCATTCCTTGTGGGGATTCCAGGGAAAAGTTGGTCCCCAGCAACTATGGTAACGTATGTTTATCGTAGGCGGTAAACAAAATGGAAAAGTAGGTCTTGTTAATGTGTGTGTTCTCATGCTCCAGTGTAGGGGGTAGTAGGGTAGCAAAGTGGGTAATGCGTTCGCTCATCACGCCTAAGATCCAGGTTCACTTCTCTACATGTGTACAGTGTATGGAGCCCATTTCTGGTGTCCCCTGCCGTGATATTGCTGGAATATTGCTAAAGCGGTAATAAAACCTCACTCACTCACTCACTGAGTGGTGTGGGTCTTTCCTCATGCTTTCAGGCACTGGTTTGTCTGGTCCAGACTTTATTACAGGCTATGGGTAGATTGCTAGAACATTGGTGATTCAGAGTTCATCATGAATAACAACTACTTCTCTTCTGGAACAGGGGCGGTTGGGTAGCCTAGTGGTTAAAGCATGCGCTCGTCACGCCGAAGACCCGGGTTCGAAGCCCGACATGGGTACAATGTGTGAAGCCCATTTCTGGTGTCCCCCGCCATGATATTGCTGGAATATTGCTAAAAATGGCGTAAAACCAAACTCACTCACTCACTCTTCTGGAACAAAGAACCAAGGGCAGTGGGGTAGCTTAGTGGTTAAAGCGTTCGCTCGACGCGGGTTCGATTCCCCAAATAGGTACAATGTATGAAGCCCATTTCTGGTGTCCCCTGCCGTGATATTGCTGGAATATTGCTAAAAGTGGCATAAAACCATACTCACTCTGCATTAGGAACCAGGAACCAGCACCTGACCTGCCATTTCAGACCAATTACAACTGTCAATTTCACACTTTATGACCATCGATATATAGATAAGTAATCATTGTGTCTAACCCCGTGGATGATGGCATTTGTGACAGAAAACCGTCACTCTCATGTGAAGAGGATGGTAGGTGTAATTAGTGATTACTAGGGCTGCAACGAATAACCTATGAGGTGAATACAATTCATATCACGAATATAGGGTAATGAATACGAATATTAATTCACGAATACAATAATAAGTCAGCAGTTGATGTATTATTTGTCATATTCAGCATGTTCAGTGAGGCAACAACAACATAAATTATTTGACATGGTTTGTTAATTATCTATATTATACATTTACATACTACACTTGTCCAGGTACTTAGTCTTAGTATCTGCTCAAATGCTACAATGACCAGTGACCAAATTCCTGTCAAATTAAATATTATAAGAGTGTTGTCTTTATCATGTTTATAGAAACCTATGCATATCATATGTTCTTATGGACATTTTAGGTACAGGGTATGTAAATGCACATGATTGCATATTCATAAATATTCGATTCTAGTGGCAACGAATAACGAATTCAATTCATGAATGGATACAGTTCGATTCACTGAATACGCGAGTGAATCGTAACGGCCCTAGTGATTACCAGATTTTTCGTCTGAAACCCTTTTCAAAAGAACAAAGACGTTGGGAAAAGGCTAAGAACGAAGTTGACCTATTTCTTTAGGTCACCAAGGAGAATGTTAGCCCACAGTGGTATTAATTCATTAGGTTTGTGAGTACTTTATTTCATTTATGTCACAGTGCGTAATGACTGAAGAATAATGGCTCGACTTAGTCTCCTCCAGATGACACAAAAGCCAGTGATCGCCTCAAGTGTAGTGCTTTCAGCAGCCATTGTGGGGGATGAAGATGAGGTTCCAAGTGGGCTTCCAGACTGACCATCTGGCCGACATGGATAGTTACAGTCATAATTACGCTCTTTGAAGGTCGCGTGGGGATTGCCGGGGCGTCACGGAGGGGTAGAGTGAGGACAAGGACAAAGGATGGGGGAGGCAGGGATTATTTCCTCCCAATGTCCTGGAGGTGTGGTATGGCCACCCTGTAAACAGTGATACATAATGACGCAAAATGTGGGTCTGATTAGAATGTCATTAATCATGTTAATCAAGCAAATGCCTGGGCTCTTAGAAGACAGGAAATGTCATCCAGTAGCCTAGACAAATTGCTTAATTTTAGAAATGTTTTTGGAAATAATAAAATCTAAAATAAACGTCATGGAATTGGAGATCTTAAGATGCTTTTTAATAAATTTTCATTGTGTAATAATTAGGGATGGGTATTGGAGGTTTAAAGTTTATCACAATATTTTGCGATGCACAAGGCTGTATTGCAATATGTATCACGATATATTGTATAATTCTCAATTTTGAATTCTGAAGCAATCTGATACATTAAGGTATGAATTGAAGTTCATAAATGGAACAAATCAAGATGCTGGTACAACATGATGTTTACTCAGTCAATAAATACGCAGCCATCTTGGATGCATGCGCCGGGGCAGCGAAGGCATTTGGCAAGTATATGACATTAAACACATGACAAAAATCGCTATTTGAAATCACCCGATATATATGACCCGAGCATGAAAAAATTATATTGTGATACGAAGTGTGGAAAGAATGAACTTCATTTTACCGATATACCGATAATAACGCAGACCCTTAATAATATTATTAACATCTAATAATATTATTAACATCCAAAGTCGAGTTGATAAATAGTTGATTGCCATGATCATGATGATCATGCACGTATTGCATATGCTCTGCTGTTGTCATGATGCACCCAAGTGATGCACTATGGGTAACTGGTAATGTCCCATGGAAGTAAGGATGTTTAGCAAGGAACAGTCATAGTGTGTTCACTCAGTACACCACATTCATCATCGTCAGTACTTCGTGGCTTTGTATACTCTACGTTCCACCATAACCTGTGAACATACTTGTTCTGGTGTAGTCACTATTTTTAAACCAACCATTCCTACCATTGCCAGGTTCCAGCGAGTATTCTGACCAATGAGCACTCCGGTTACAGTGGCTTTATTTCCTTGTGCCCATCGGTTCTACACATTGCTTCAGTGTCAGGAAACGGTAGAGTTTACATCAGATCCATGAATTGTGCACAGCCTCACTACAGCACTTGATTTGAAATAGCCATGCATCACTACTCCACCGCAGATCGGCACTATGTATTTACGGATGGTGTAGGAATGTAGTCTATACAAACCTAGCAAGTATTGATGATGTGCATTCAATGTCCGGGACCTCTATCCAGTTGTCCAATTGGCCGGAAAACTGATACACAAGGTCTGATACGCAAGGCCTAATACACAAAAAAACTGATACACAGAAAACTGATACACATGGTCTGATGCAGAGAAAACTGATACACAAAAAAATGATACACAAGGTCTGATACACAAAAAACTGATACACAAGGTCTGATACATAGCAAACTGATACACAGCAAACTGATACATAGCAAACTGATACACAAAAAACTGATACAGAAAACTGATACACAAGGTCTGATACATAGCAAACTGATACACAGCAAACTGATACATAGCAAACTGATACACACACAAAATGATACACAGAAAACTGATACACAAGGTCTGATGCAGAGAAAACTGATACTGAGAAAACTGATACACAAGGTCCGATACACAAAAAAACTAATACACAAGGTCTGATACACAGCAAACTGATACATAGCAAACTGATACAGAGAACACTGATGCACAAAAAACTGATACACAGAAAACTGATACACAGAAACGAATATACAAATCTGATACAAAGAAAAGAGATAGACTGATAACTGCTTACATGACTATAACAGATATATGATGGTCGTATATGTAATAGATATCCTACCTAGGATTAGAAAATGAAGTCTATGATTCACTATCTTATTTTTATCTTAATTCAGCAAACAAATAATTTATTAGTTCCCATGATAATAAAGGGTCACAGTAGGTCCTTAGTATCCCACTTAGGATCTGACTTAAATAGGATTCAGTTTTCTGTTTTCTGTGTATCAGTTTTCTCAGATGCACCAGTTTTCTGGCTGATTGTATCAACTGTTGCTCATGCTATCAACCACTAGTTTGAAGGCTACTATGATGTAGATAGACTACTGCCAACTAGCATTAAAACACATTAAAACAACATTCACTCAGAAATTCACTTTTTTGTTTGACAACAGTGAACTGGTTTGATTACTTACAGATGCTGTGATTTTGCATATTCTATGTTCTAATCTAAGATAGACTACTGCCAACTAGCATTAAAACACATTAAAACAACATTCACTCAGAAATTCACTTTTTTGTTTGACAAGTGAACTGGTTTGATTACTTACAGATGCTGTGATTTTGCATATTCTATATTCTAATCTAAGATAGTCTATCTACAGTGTACAAAAACATTGACATCCATCCACCTATTCTTTGGTTCATGATGATTGCCCTGGGAATGGTAGCTGAAATAGCTGTTGATAATAAGATCATGTGTACTTTCAGTCTTACCGGGGGAAATATTCGTTTTGTAAAAATGTGTATCTCTTCCCACAGAAATAGATTTTATGACAAATCAGTATACAGATTATGGATGCTTGACTTTTATCTCAGTGGTGTTATTATTTCAAACAATAACAAAGAACCTTTAAAAAAATCTCTTCCTTTGCGACCAATTCACAGTGCAGGAAATTTCTGCTGACTTGGCAAATCGTGTTGAGAGAAAACATTATGATGAGAAAGTACTAATTGTGCTCATTTACATAAACACACAGACACTCTGGCAGCAGGGGTGAACCAGGCCATGGTGGCAACTTCCTATGTATTGATTTACTGCATGATGGTACATTCAAGTGATGTATGGCTCCGTCTAGGTGAACCATTTCATGGTCGACAATATAACACGCACTCTCAGCCTGTCTGTGTCTTCCCATTGTTTTACCTCAAAAACTAGGCTATGTAGCATTGGTTCAGCTGTACAAAACTGTTTAGCATGCTTGCTGCCTCCTGCGATTGATATTGAAGCGACACTGAAGCGATTCCGGTAGCTCCTCACAGAATCGATCAATAGTGGATGCATTATTAGTTGGCATGACTCATCGGGGCTTCAATGATCCTGCTCCCATCGCAGGTCTTAGTTAGACCAACCAGTTAGTGTTTGCAAGCTGCATGTACAATATTTAGGATCAAACTTAATTTGAGGACTTTTAAATTAACCAATATTCAGTGAAGAGGAGAGGAGCTTGCAAAGTATGGGCCTGACTGGATCGTTTGTTTTTAGCATCCGATTAAATTCGACTTTTTAATGTGAAGTTTGCAAGTCTGGATGTGGATCACTGTGGCTGGATTGAAAGGTTGGTGTTTTGGGGTCGGAGGACCTTCTCTTTGAATGCAGCCCATGATGCGTGACTGATTGTTGGGAGCAGCTGGCTGAAGGATAAGCCCAAGATATACATTAATTCTCATGTTTAGATGCTCGGATCAAGTTCAACATTCAAGACATGGTGTGGAACGAAATCACTGTTATCCTGCAGTGTTTATGAAATACGCCCGGACACTACCTAGACCTGTTCTGTTAATGCATTAACATTGACGACATGTAAATATATGTTACTGTGTTGTAATAGCATTAACTTTCTTTGATGTGGAATTTGAACCCTTATTCAACAAACCGTGAAACTCATTGTGTTAAAAATATGTGAGGATTCAAAAACTGGAGTAGCGGCTTTGAGTTGTTTAGCCTATCTAGGATGAGTCATGGCTTGGGAGAAATCCCCCTCTCGGCTCAGGAGACAAGATACGAAATTACCTTTATCTCCGCTCCCTTGCTTTCACTGCTAGAGACTGTGCAGGATGCATAGAATTTAAACAGGGTGAAGGAGACTCCAACCCTGCAGTGGAGCTGACTGTCATTGTATGTACATTTTGTGCACGACCGTGGATTTGATGAAGTGCAATCACCGTTATGTATCTGACAGACGTTTCTGACTCATAATTGTTTTCTGATGATCAATGAGAATTAGTAGATTGACAAGATTTGGAGACTGGATTCCAGGCCGAAATCTTCATATGACGTTTGTGATGAAAATGGAAGTGTTGGATTTAATGGATGTGTGGGACTACTGACTTTTGGGGATGAATTCAGTTTGACAACCGAGGAGGAAGACCACTGATGGGAGAGTGATTGGGAGAAGCTGAACACATGGAAAACTCTCACCGTAGGTTCTACACAAATCTCAATATAACGAGATTATGATGAGGTGAATTAAAAATTCAACAATACTCTTCAATCTAACGTGAATTTCAATTTACTCATCTAAACAATTAACCAATGGTTAAAATACAAAAAATTATTAAAGGATGATCTGTAATTGTTTTCATTCATGGTTTATTTATATGCGATTAATTGTCAAAATTGTGACTAAGATAATTGTTTGTGATGAATGTGTAATTCAAGGAATGTTTAAGTCTATCTCAACTCTTCATCGTAGTATTTAGGGATGCGGCACGTCCTTGATCCGGCTAACTACTTATAATTCTCACTACAGTGGCTGGGAGATTAAGGGGAAGGTTTATTTAGGGAGATCTTGGCAAATCCCTCTGTGTGACCAGACAGTCAATTGGATTCATCAAGAAGTCTTCCAACAAAACATGTTGAGATGTAGGCACTTTTTCACCAGGATTGTAAATATGTACTTTTGTTGTAGTATTTCCCTAGAAACTGTAACACAGATTCAGGGCTTTTTTCTAGCATGGGGTCAAACTTCAAGGTCAGTGGAGTGGCTTTTTCAATGATTTTCTTATTTGTGGGTTAATGTTTGCACTACCTTCCTGATGCTGTGTTGAATGTTTGTCTACACCCGGACAGATAATTGGCCAGATCCCCTCCGGTTCCCTCCCCTCAAACTAGCAGTTGGTGATACAAATACCTTCTGGGCCACTTAGGTAGACAGGTGCCCTCGGGGGCATCTCATAACCGAAAAGGAAGTTTAAGTGTTTCTTGTTATGGTATTGTCAAATTGATATGATTATTAATGAAACTTTTCAGTTTGATTTTTAATCTTTAAGATGATATTGAAAAGGGAGTGGTTTCTTTAGGTTTTAGTTTGCAAATTAGGAGTCAGGTTAGTTTGAGTGGTAAATTGTTGTTCTTCAGAGCTGCTTGATATCTTTTGTGATGAGTTCAATATCAAGTAATGTTTTCAAGAAAGCATGTTTTACTTGATTCATTTTTGCTACCCAGTACATATGTTCTTGACAGAAGGTGTTATTAATCAGACTATCAGAGTGCAGTTATTAAATTCTAAATTATTTTATGTGAACACTCTTGTCACACCGAAGGCCTGGGTTCAATGCCCCACATGGGCCCCGCCTAAATATTGCTGCTCACTCACTCACTGGCTCGCTCACTCACTCACTCACTCACTCACTCACTCACTCACTCACTCACTCACTCACTCACTCACTCACTCACTCACTCACTCACTCACTCATATGGATGCTTGTGTAACATTTTGTACTGTGGGTTATAAATAAAGAAATCCGAGAAGCAGAAAATTTGACAAACTTTTAAAAGACATGCAAGACTTGTTTCTTCAAGAGAGTCTGTGACTAGATCAATCATGATCTAAGTGCATTTGAGCAGTAATTTGGAAAACATGCCATTCAAATAAGGGTAACAATAAGTACAATCTTTTAACATCTTTTGGTATGATGCGGCCCCATTTGGTATCATGTGTGAACCATGCTTCAGTTTAACATGTATGTCCCACTCAGACACAGTATACTGACTCGAAGCTGACCATTTCCTGTTTTATCTTCTTAATGCGGATCGTCAGGCAGGGTAACAATAAGTACAATCTTTTAACATCTTTTGGTATGATGGCGACGGGTGATTGAACCATTGACCTTCCACTGTCCGGGAGGTGCTCTGTCCTCTACAGCATGCAGGCAAGGTATGGATGGATGTTCCTTTGTATGTTGTCTAACCATGATATTCCCATCCCGATCACCCAAACTGCAGGCTTTTCAGGATGAATGATTTCTTGCAAGTGAGAAAGCAACAAGTGGATTAAGTAATATGATCTGCTTTACGAACGTACTGTGCCATTACATGACTGAAATACTGTACCAAAGGGCTATACGACAAGCTCACTTACGAAGGTAGTACATGCACTAAAAACTAACACGTAGTCTTTGAAAACATTTCTTTAAAATAATTGTAATGTATTTTTTTCAATAGAATCTTTCCCCCTCTGCTGTTTTCATGTGGAATCAAGAAAACTAGACTTGGTTTAGGGTCATCTAGACTTGCCTTGTCTTTTCGTAAAAAAATAAATATATTTGAGCATCATGGCGCAGGACGAAAATGTTCCATTGAAGGAATATAAATGTTGAAATAGTCAGTCCTGTCTTCAAAGTTCAGCTTTAGTTTCTGAAGCATGTTTTGAGAAGCTCCCTGTTCAACGTTACTGAGGTAGTAGCAGTTTTGTTTAATTGCAAGGGTTAGGTCAGAGAGCAAATCAGTCTCCCTTAACCTCCCAGTAGACCTAACGTTGGACAGGAAACATCAATACTCTCCTGTAATTGTGTCTTGGCTAATGAACAGAGGACGAGAGTGAGCAGTAGTCGATGTGTCAGATGAGGGACGGTGTATGATTCACAGGTGATGAATATGGATACAACATACATCAAGGGCTTGTGTTTGACAGCAGACATCATCGGCTGCTCACTAGGTCGTCGTGGATGGATCCTTTCGTCAAAATGATTATTATTGATTTTTGAGTGGAAATCAAGGGGGATATGTCTTGTTCAGGATTCTTTGTCTTTTGTCGATCTAAGGTTGAGTAGAAGTTGACAACTGTTCAAACTTGGAAACCATGTCATCAATGTGTTAAGTGTAGTATCTTCTATTGTCAGATTCAGTTTAAAGCAATAGGGTTTTTACCCAAGAATTCAGATGTTTTGACTATTATTGTTGATTATCAGACCCTTTCCTCCCAAAACAGATGGTCATTTGTTATATTTTAGTTAGTATTGGGGGGGCATGGGGGGCCCAGTTGTCTAAGGCGCCGTGATTCGCTGTGCAGAGTTGCGTCCCTTGGGCACGCCAGAAACCTATGTTTGTGGGTTCGAATCCCGCTTCGCCCCGATTATGTTTCTAGGTTTGTCAGCACCATACCCATGCTTGTGGGTTTCACCGAAGTGGTAAACATCTGAGACCTGCATCACTTCGGGCTTTCCTCCCACATCAAGCTGACACGCCATGATATAGACAGACAGACAGACAGACAGACATGTTTATTCAGTAAAAGGCCAATGGCCCAAAATACAGACATGTGAGCATGACATTTACAGGGCACAGAATTTATCATTAATTATTTTGTGAGCATAATATAAGAATTTACAAACTAGAAATAATGTTTGCTCATTATAATTACTAAGAATATTTATTTACATGAGAATTACTGTAATGAGTAGGCATAGGAAGATTAACAAGGTATTTTTGTCTTAGGGCAGAATATAAATTACAATTAAAGAGTACATGGAATTCATCCTCAATGACATTAACTCCCTTACTACTACAATAGTTACAGAATCTGAGTGAACGGTCTGTTTGATACTGGAATACTGTTAAAAGCAACGTTAAACCCAACTCACTCACTCACTAGTTAGTATTGGATAGTATTGGTTTAGTCTGTGACTTTAGCCACTTGTCTGAAGCCTGAGTCAAGTAAAACTTCTTTTGGTTTAGTAATCTTTGCTAATAAAAGTACATACATTAACACTAAGGTCGACTAAAATTGATGTCAAATAACTGGTTCTGTCTAGTAAAACCAAATGTTTTTGCCACAGATGTTAACATCAATTATTTATTTACATTTTTGTGTGTTAATGTCTTTCACAGAATCTTTTTTATTTTGGTCCCACACACATTTCCAACTTTATTTTGCAACAAAGTATATAAATATCTCCCTGATCAGAAAATGAGGCAGCAATTCCAACAAACAAGGAATCACTTTAACCAAATTTCCACTAAATAAAAGCCAGCTTTCATAATCAGTAGGGCGGTCGGGTAGCCTAGTGGTTCGCTCGTCACGCCGAAGACCCGGGTTCGATTCCTGACATGGGTACAATGTGTGAAGCCCATTTCAGGTGTCCCCAGCCGTGATATTGCTGGAATATTGCTAAAAGCAGCGTAAAACCATACTCACTCACTCACTCATAATCAGTAGCTTAAATTAAATTCCTCACTTGGCTGATAAATTGTTGCCCACAAGACATATGTGATACACACTCACTTCCTAAAGAAACGCGAACCATAGAAACATAGAGAAGTATGTATGTTTAGAAGAAACGTTTCCAATGTGTACCACTAATGACAAAACTAACAATCAGTCAAGTGTTACCACAGTAGCTTTATTTTTATCACAATATGCTGCATGTGTTTTCCAAACTTTACACGCAATACCTGCACGAGACAAATGGTGCATCTCGAGTTATGGATCTATGATGTCACATGTGATGCGTTCATGAGCGTCAGTTCACGCAACATACCAGTATGTTCGTTTGTGCATAAAACCAATCTAATGTCTCTTGAATATGAGTTATATTTCATATATTAACCAACATGTATGCAACTCATGTGTTTTTGTCAGTGAGTATACAATTAGCCATGGAAGTCAAACATGGTAAAAGATCGGGGCAAACACTAGACTCCACTTCATTTCCACATAAGCTGTAACAACCCCCCTTGAACAAGGCGCCCCAGCATCAACGACCATGTGCAGCGAGTGTGACATTTTTGTTTTTGCATATTATCATATGTCACAGTCACTTTGACATTTTCAAGACAGAATATTTGAAATTGAAATTGGTAATCTGATCTGATGGCTCGGCAAAAAAGATGGAAAAGAGAGACAGATCTGTTTCTTGCTATGCAGCCAGCAAGGGGCCAGGAGCAGCCATGTCTATTGTCTGCATGTTGTTGTAGCATCATGGAGGTGTTCATTAGCAAAAAATAGTTCTTCTTGTTGAACTCAGCAGTTTTCGAGCTGTGTAAGGCAGTCTGTAAATTCAAGTCTGGAATAGACAACCTAGTGATTGGTATTGTGAGCATTGATCCCCCAAAAGCGGTGTATTATGCACGAGATACAGTAATACTACTAATAGGCACAATGCAGTAATAAATAAGTCTTCATTTTTTAATTTTTTTATGTTTTTGCCTCCTTTATGACGTGTAATTAAGTTGGTCTGGCCG